GACTTCAAACCATGCAAGTTTATTGTAACCCTTTACCCATCTCCACATCAGTGCCAGCATATTCACCTTTTGAGTAAAAACTCCAAATTTCTTTATGCCAAAGATTAAGCAAAAATTATCATAGTGAAAATTTGCAGTTAAGGACAGCTTAATGCCATAAATGTTTATTAGGCATTTCACTAGACTATTATCTTCTGCAAGGCGTGCTATATAGCAATCACTAGTAGCAATATATTTGCAAATACAAACAGAATGTAACCAACATGTCTTAATTATATAATTACATGAATGTTAAGATTGGTTCAGGTGTCATGCTTACTGGTTATGATAAATATCTTTTCATATGATCAAATCTCGTTTAAATGTAAATCTGAAATAATTTAGTTTAGAAATTATAATGATCATCAGACAAATTATTATGGAACTCAATGTTCCGGCCTTCCCTCTTATCGGTCGAGACCATTCCAAACTGTCCACTGGTCTCGCAATTGACCAATAAAATAAGCGTTTTTTGAGTTCATAGACAGTGGCGTAGCTAGGAAAAATAGTCACTCCCGCCAATCCATCTCGCGCCTCCGGCGCGACCCAACTAGGGGGGTCCGGGGGCATGCTCCTCCGGAAAATTTTGAAATCCAGAGCCTTGGAAACAGCATTTCCTGCGATTTCGAGGGCGAATTATTTGTTGTACAATAATTTATAAAAACCCATTTTTGTTAGCTGCATTCTTAATGTGGCAATCGTTGAAACTGCAACTAGTTAAAAAGGTACTAAAGGTGGCTCAGAGAAACGTTACGCAGGAGACAATTGTCCCCTAAAACATAATTTACTCATCACTGCCCCTGCATAAACAGAAGAAATTTGTATTAGCACAAAAATAATATAGTATACGACACTTCTAAAGTGCATAGAGAGATTTTTCTTAGCATTCTACTTGTTAGTTTAAACTTGTTTAGATTGGGGCAAGTAGACAGGGATGGCTTTATTCTTTAAAGTTATGCTTAATTTTCTCAATGAAGTACCATGTATTATACGAACAAATATCAAAACACATACTATACTCATCATTTATAAAGAAAGGCCAGCCTCCTGGGTTTTTCTACAAATTTTTCAACCACCTCGTTATGCAACACCTCTGATTCCTCTTTCTTTTCAATGATATCTTTGTGAATAAATATTCTACACAAAGAGCTAAGCCGACCTTGACCCATTCTATTTCTTAAATAGCTTTTTACCCTTTTTAAGCAAGAGAACGACCTCTCTACTGAAGCACTTGCCACTGCCAACACACCATTCAATTTTAACAAATTTACCACTTGACCTAAACTCGACTGGAGATTAAATTTGAAGATGTATTTAAGAACCTCATTACTGCACTCTTTGTGAAAGTCCTTGTCGTTGTAAATGAAGGAAAGTTGACTCTCCCAAGTTTGGATGTCAAAAAGAGGACTATACTTATCTTTGAGAAGATTGATCTTCTCCTGTGGAACTATGCCCTTCCATGTAGTAAATAGTTTAGGATTTACAAGGTCTAAAAACTCGAACTGATTAATATCTTGAAATCGTTCACTTAACATGCCTTTAATGGAATCAATAATCTCAAAATAAAGCTGTTTGTAATTGTATCTACTATCTGCTCTGGTTGCTGGTGGGCCTACTTTTCTAGTGCAGTTTGGTAAAACTCGGTGAAAGCTTGATCTGTGCGAAGTGACACAATAAACTGCTTGAAATTGTCAATCTTGCTTATGCCATAGTTAAAATGGGTTTCCCTATTTTGAAGAATGGAATACAAAATTGTGGACTGTTCTAAAATCCTGTAAAAACACACACTAGAAAACAAAAAGAAAGCTATCAAGATAATGCAGTAAGCCACTTATTTTACTTAATGACTCATCATCCCACCCAGCTGGTTGTTCAAGTACCCCTCAAAAATATCTAAAAGTTTTTCATAGTTTTTGTGCAATACATTGATTAATCTAGAGCGATAATACCATCTTGTTTCACCAGGGCAGGAAACTCAAGGTTGTTAGATGTGAGAAAAGCTTTTCTTTTGGGGCATTGCTTGTAAATGTGCTGAATGTAGCTATATTAATAAAAAGATTTTAACAGGAGAAATTGATGAGGCTGACTGGCATAGGACCAGGTTCAATCTATGAGCTGCACAATGAACAAAATGAGCAAAAGGATACTCTAGTCGAACCAATGCTTGAACACCATTGATATGGCCAGACATGACAGAAGCACCATCATATGTTTGTAAAACCAGTTTTTCTTTTATATTAGAATACTCAACAAGTTTATCTTTGACAACTTGTGATATTGCTGTGGCATTTCTGTTCATACTTACATCCACAAATCCTAATTGCCTCTCCATAATTTCACTTGCTTTGTCAAACCGAGCAATAACACTTAGCTGCTCTTTGGTGGAGACATCAGATGCTTCATCAACCTGAATACTCATAAATGTGCAATCATTTATTTCCTTTCTGATTTCATCTTCAATAATTGAATCAAGACAGCTGATAAGACCATTTTGAATTTCTGGGAGACTCCAGTAAATCTTCTGTCACCAACTATATCAGATTCTGCTAGTCTACTGTGCAGTCGACGCTCAAATACAGAATCAAACTTAGCAAAACATTCGAGCAACTCTCTATAATTACCTTTGTTCAAGCTACCTTCGGACTCATTGTGACCTCTAAATGGCAACTCTTGCTTTGACAAATACAGCACGGCCTCAGTAACAGTTTTAAAATTTCTCGATTTTGTCTTACCTCCTCATTGTGACGCTGAATCTCATTTCTTCTAGCGAGGGACATAAGACAATCAATTCGTTCACTAGCTCCATACGTTTTCCATGTCTTAAATGCAGTCAAATGCGATTTAGATTTTCATGCTTCTTAGCATCAGACATAATACTCCGCATATCGTTGTAGCCATTCTTAGTCCACGATGGCGATGTTTTGGGGGAAAACATTAGACATGGCCAACAAAACACTTTCTGCAAGGTTGTACTGCCACACAGCCAGTCCTTCGCCTCATACCAATCTCTCTGAAATGCTCTTCCCTTATTTTGGATAGTTAAATCAGGAGTAGGCCGTTCATGAACGATAACATTCTGTTCGACCGACGATAGAGCAGAGAACGGTTTAGCTAATAAGCTATTTACTAAATCAACATCAGTTGAGCAAATCGCAGTCGCACTTGAAGCCATTGTGTCATACACAAATACAAAATAGCAATTTGAGAGTAAACACAATGGAAAATTAATACCGACAATGACAGGTAATTTGATAATCACTAATCGCTGTACTTGTATTAAAAGGTCAAATAATTACAACCTCCGCCAATTTAAAATAGCGGGAGTTCGACTATAAAAACAGCAGATTTGAGCATGCGTCAAGTCCCTTAGCCAACCAGAATTCAAAACTTCTTATATAGAATTATATTGTATGTTCCGCCCTCTGAAGATGGGCGGAATACGTGGAGAATCGCGCGAGTATGCAATGTGCGAGAAAAGGCGGTTGCTAGGTTACATAACAAATCTTGAGATTTTGCTGTATTACGATTACGAAATACGAACCACCTAATAAAAGCGTAAATATGAACGAATAAAACATAATATTACAAATTGTTCGTGAAATAATGTATATCTTATGTCCAAATAGAATATTTATTGTTTTTTTGGGAAATTTCTACTCCCGCCGGGCGGGAGTAGCGGGACCGCTAGCTACGCCACTGTTCATAGACTCCTTTATCAGTCGAACCATTCAAGCCCACACGCTTATCAGTCCGTTATTCCAGGTCAATTAAAATTCAACTGATCTGGTTACCAACGAGATATTCATTGGATTAGTCATTAGTTTTCAATAATAAATAAAGCTTGATTTTTATCACGAAGTAATTGCGATAATAAAGTAAGAATAATTAATGAATTTTTAATTATTATGAATAGGCAATTTTTTAATATCAAACATCACTCGCGCGATGGATTTGACATACTTTAGATCCGCACCTGTGATTAGAGGCAAGATATAAGAAACTGAGTTGACTGTGAACTATTTGGTTTAACCTTGGATCTACTACTGAACTGAACTACAATACTTTCTTATTGTAAATATGATATCTGTCAAGGAAGAATGTATTATTTTCTAAAAATGCTAAACCCCTTGCACTATTCTTCCCTTGTACCTTTATAAATTACAGCTCCCCACACTAATTTTTCCTGGTTTCAGAAAAAATTGAGACATATTTGAATTTTACATCGTGCCTTTGAATTTTTCCTTTGTCTCTTGGTAAAAATATCAGTGAAAGACTTCCAAATCAAGTTTATCTAAAATAGTACTTTCTTTATATAAGAAATTAAACGTAATTAGAACGTTCCTTGTTAAAGTCAGACGTTGCTTCTTTTACTAGATTGTTTATACTTATACTTTTAAATAACTTCTACTAATTCTTAAACGATCTCGTGTAGTTACGGCCATAACAATCCACAAAGCTTTAAAAGTCTCCCTAACAATTCGTCCCACAACGGTATGACTTACAAAGTAACTTGCTGCAATGGTTCTAAAGGCGTCTCCAGTAACCAAACATCTGCAGGTCCAATAGATTCTCTTCTTGCATGCCAGCCTGCTATTTTTGGTGCAACTAAGGTGAGTAATTCTTCAAACTTGGAAGGAGTCACGCGAAACAAACAAAAAAAATTCTTTGTCATATAGCATAGCTTCTTGAACTAGAGTATGATATTAAGTACAGATTTCAACTTCCACTTATACAGACACCTACCAACAAAATATTTCTTAACTTCCTACACAGGCTGTGTCCTTACAATGTATTGGCTATAGACAACAGTTTAATTCGGTACCTAATTAATATTACTCACAATCGTTTTATACCCCACATGTAAATATTTGATAAGCGTGCATAATTATAAATTTTAAATGTTTTGCTTTATTCTTTGTTCAGCTTCTCACTTATATTCGAAATGACGACTTTCTCATAAATAGGTTGCCATTTACAGATTTAGTGAAACATTAAATAGTTAAATACAAGCATGTTTAAAATTTGGTGGACTATTATATGTATGTGTGAAGACTTATCCCACTACGTATAAGTTAAATACTTGCTATATTATGTTGTAATTGATACAGTTTGCGATATATACATACATTACTGGGTAAAATTTGTAACTCAATGTTATATTTTCTATGAATAATTGTTCCTTTCATCAACTATGATGCAAGGTTGTGCCATTCAAAACTTTCATATTTCACTGTTATACTCTAATTCAATAATAAAAAGCCAATCGAATGTCTCATTAAAAATGTAATTTACATTAAATAATACCCTTCCACTAAGTATCCACTCCTGTAATATGCTTCGTCCTTTATACTTCGTTCTTTACATTGACCACTAAATGATATTAATAAAAATACTTGAGACTTTAAATGATACTTTAGTTAGCTGTAGCATTGTTATACTATGTATGCGGTCTTCTCGAATTGGTATGGTTGCCTTTAAAAATAAACGGGTATTCTATAATCTATCTAAAACGTGAAATAGACTTTTGATTTATAAACAATGATCTGGTACATTACCACTGCGACATGATGACAAATTAGGAATTACAGCATACTAAAAAGCACGATATTTTCAGAACTTACAACTAATTAACAACTAACTTCATACGTACCAATCAGTCGACTGGGTACCATTAGTCGACTGGTGTATTCTTTCTGCTTTCTGCTTTCTGTAAGCATCTGAAGTAGAATCTGGAACAAACTGTCAACAGTTAATCATAAATAAAAATTCACACCAACAACGAAACGGCATTTCGTTTAAAATTTAAATTATTATTTCATCTGTATTGGTGGTTGCTTGTTCTCATCACTCAAAATAACATGACGTCATTTTTTGAAGCTAGGCCAGGCAATCTAAGGCAACCGAGGAAGGAAGCAACTTAATTTTTCTTTTTTTTCCGGTGAGCCATTTTTTTCGTATTTGCCAATAGCACTGGGTGTTGTGGTAAGAAAATTTTGAGCCACAATGTGGTTGTCTTATAAAATGTACATTCCATGTCCTTATATAATAAGTTATCACATCAATATTATTGGGTAAAAAGAATGATAGCATAATGCTTTAACCAACAACTACAAACAATAACGACCTTATTCAGTGGTGTGGAAGGGAGAGCCGCTTAGGGGAGGAGCCCCCTTCTATTTTTGAAATTGGTAATTTTAAAAGGGCACTATTAACAAAAACGTCAAGATAGCCCCCCTCTGATAGATTTAGTTCTACAACATTGACTTTATTTAACTACATTTGGGAAATTAACCTTCCAATCCTCTTCCTTGTAATGAGACAAGTCTATTCAAAAGCAGAGAGCCTTAACAAAGCAGAGAGCTTTTGAATAGACTTGTCTCGTTTACAAGGAAGACGACTGGAAGGTTAATTTCTCAAATGTTGTTAGACAAGGTCGTTATTATTTGTAGTTGCTGGTTAAAGCATTATGCTATCATTATTTTGTTTAATAACATTCCAACTATTTAATCTTGTGATTATACTAATTGGGTAGTAGTTTACCATGCAAACCAAGTGCACTTTTTACGCTTTTAAAGATATACATGATTGTAGTAGCTTTTTAAGTTTAAGGTACCAAACCAAAATTCTTTGAAAACTATTCTAATTAAAAAAATGGTTTTCATTCAAAATAACAAAGACTTAAGTGGCTCGAACTTCTACAGATTTCTTGAGAACATTGCACAGGTTTTGCAGATTCGTTAACTTCTACCAGTTTGAGTTAACGAACAAAAATTTTTTGATTTTAATAGTTTGAACTAATTTTTTTTAGACTTAAGACTACAAGACGGTATTTTAATGTGTAACGTGTCAGAATGAGCACTGATATTAAAACATTCGTCACAAATCTTTTACAATAAGCCGTATGAGATGAATATGTACTTCATTTTCTGCATATGTCGACAAGTAGCGTTGCAGGCTTACAGATTTACTCTCGGCTTATGTAAGTTCTAAACAATTGCGTTATTCGTTTCTTTCTAAACCTATTGCTTTCAGGCTGAGAAAAATCGGATTGTTATTAACCGTTGTTTTTAACAGTGTTTTTAACAGGTTTATCAGTAATAATTTAATATACAAAATTTGTTTGATTTCGTTTGTTGAGTTTTGTAGAGGTTGTATTACGAAAAGAGATAATACCCAAGTCCTGCGCTCGAGTACGGGGGACCAATGTAAACGACGACACCATAGAAACATCGATACCTACTGCGCACATGGTTTTATTTAATTAAAAATTGTTTACAATGAAAAACATGAAATCATAAATAGACGAAGCTACTGGGTACTATGTAGTGTTCAGGGCATGCAGATTTCTGGCCGAATCAGAATATCGTACTCCGGCAATCAGTCTAAACGCGGTATAATTAATCAATCTAACGTCAACGAAACATGAAAGTGGAACATAAGTGAGAAAAGAAATACTGTTAAACATCCATACTTATCAAATCTAAGTTTTTGTTAAAGCGGATTTTTACAATTTTACACTTCACCAACAAGAAATATTGAAAAAGGGGGGATTTCCCTCTTTCCCCTCCCCTCTCTGCAGCCCATGTGCAATGTTCTCAAGAAATCTTTAAAAGTTCGAGCCACTTAAGTCTTTGCTATTTTGAATGAAAACCATTTTTTTAATTAGAATGGTTTTCAAGAAATTTTGGTTTGGTACTTTAAACTTAAAAAGCTACTACAATCATGTATATCTTTAAAAGCGTAAAATGCGCACTTGGTTTGCATGGTAAACTACTACCCAATAAGTATAATCACAAGATTAAATAGTTGGAATGTTATTAAACAAAATAATGATAGCATAATGCTATAACCAACAACTACAAACAATAACGACCTTGTCTAACAACATTTGAGAAATTAACCTTCCAGTCCTCTTCCTTGTAATCGAGACAAGTCTATTCAAAAGCTCTCTGCTTTTGAATAGACTTGTCTCGTTTACAAGGAAGAGGATTGGAAGGTTAATTTCCCAAATGTTGTTAGATAAAGTCAGTGCTGTAGAACTAAATTTGTCAGAGGGGGGCTATCTTTACGTTTTTGTTAATAGTGCCCTTTTAAAATTACCAATTTCAAAAGTAGAAGGGGGCTCCTCCCCCAAGCGCCCACCATTTCTACACCACTGGATATGGTCTTTATTGTTTGTAGTTGTTAGTTAAAGCATTATGCATCATTCTTTTCACCCAATAAGTATTGATATAATTACTTATTATATAAGGAGATGGAATGTACATTTTATAAGACAACCACATTTTGGTGCAAACTTTATTACCACAACACCCATTGCTATTGGCAAATTCAAAAAAACAATGGCTCACCACATAAGACATAAAAATCAGCTTTCTACATAAAAAAAAATTAAGTTGCTTCCTTCCTCGGTTGCTTTAGATGGCCTGGCCTAGCAGCAAAAAATGGCGTAGTGTTATTTTGAGTGATGAGAACAAGCAACCACCAATACCGATAAAATAATAGTTTAATTTTTAAACAAAATGCCGTTTCCTTGTTGGTGTGAACTTTTATTTATACAGTGTGAACTGTTGACAGCTTGTCCCAGATTCTACTTCAGATGCCTACAGCAAGCATAAAGCAGAAAGAATATACTAGTCGACTGATGGTACGCAGTCGACTGATGGTACGTATGAAGTTAGTTGTTAATTAGTTGTAAGTTTGAAAAAAACATGCTTTTTAGTATGCTGTAATTCCTATTTTGTCATCATGTCGCAGTGGTATGAAAAACATTAAATTATAAATCGACGAAGCTAGTGGGTACTATGTAGTCTTCAGGGCTTGCAGATTTCTGGCCGAATCAGGATATCGTACTCCGGCAATCAGTCTAAACGCGGAATAATTAATCAATGTAACGTCAACATTGTACTTCCATTTTAGAAGTACAATAACATTCAGCTTTTCATTTATGAGAATGTAAGTTTACTGAAGACTTATGATGCCTGCTGTTTATGAAACTGATCTAAGTTTTACATAGTTCTTTCTTTCCTTTTAAAGCACACAACAAAGGTTAAGAGAATTTTCCGTTTTAGCTATCAGCAAACCACTGGACTGCAAGAAGAATCTTGATGGCGTTCAGTTAACAAACAAGGATGGTCAACTTGTGAATCCAATTACAAATTTATAAATGGTTCCTGGCACAACCAATTTACTAGTTGAAAGTGAGAAGGAACTTATAAACTTCAGATAGCTAAATTGCTGCTCGTGACATAAAGTATATACAGGAGAACGAATCACATATCAAAATAACAGCTGGTGGAAAACTGTAGACAATTGAGTACCCTTTGAGCCAAGTCAACAAATAAACAATTTGAGAAAAGCTTAAAAAGTAAAAAGGAATTGTCGTGTCAATAATTTAGATTTGTACCTTTATCTGCAAAACGTGAAAAATATAATGTTCATGTAATTTAAGTTGTTAAACAGAATGTTTTCAAATATACCAAGAAACAGTGATATATTTTGAATTAGAATTAGTTTAGACGTCATAATTCAAACTCAGTAAGTCGTTTTATGTCTATATCAGACTCTTATATAATATTAAAAAGAAAAATCTGATAAATTGCTTTACCTTTTATTTCAATATTATAATTCAGACAAGACACTTTGAGTGTTTTCACAAGTGGATATTTTTTAAATGGTCTCTATCGTACCAAAGGACACCTATTACACAACATTCCGGAAAAAATATAATAGAAATCTTTCAATCATCCCAACAACTATGGTAATTGTTATATAAAGATATTAACCAAAAAGAATGGACAACTTGCAAAAGAGCCTTCTTTATAGGCTCTTTTATAAATAGTAAATTAATATAGTTTTATTTTGAGTTAACCTATAACCAAGACAAGCAGACAATTTTAAATAAAACAAAATAAAACAGTTTCCGAAAACAGACATCTCGTTTTCTTAATATTCAAGATGATACAAGAGTCTTAGACAACAGATTGTGTAAAATCTCGTCTTTATTCAAAAGACATCGTCATACTAAAAGTTTACAAAGCAAACTGCGAAACTTTTATATAATTACAAGCGGAAGCGACAGTTATACGTGATTGAGACAACTACAAGACTCAACAATTATGGAGTATACCTTCATTTAAAATAGAGATGATTTCTTACAGGCTTTGAGACCACTATTAAGTTATGGCATATTGCGTTTTATCAAAAGCGCTTCTAAGATGAGAAGTTAGTTAGGATTATTAGTATTATATTTATTATTATTATTATGATTATGTTATATACAATAACCTAATATAGCTTGATTTTGAATTAACCTTAAAATAGGGATAATAGTAACCCAAAATCCATTCACCACACTGACATGGCTCGCAATCACTACAAATTGTGATAATTTTCATCTCTTAAAACTAGCTAACTGTAGAGTTTTGTGAATGACAGGTGCATTCGAAGAGGCATTATAAGTATTGATATAATTAAGGATAAATAATATACAGAGCGATAATTTGCAATTCGTCCTAAAAGTTTTTTAAAAAATTTAAAATGCTAAACGCAGTGAAATCTTTTTATATAAATACATAAAATACATTTATTATTCTGCAATGTGCGTATGGGGCGAGGTCTGTACAAAAACACCTCGGCCCGATATTTCTCAGTAAAGACCGAGAAACGAGGTTTTTAGAAGGATTATTATTTGGCATTATTTGACCTGAAACAAAGCTTGCTTTCTTTTTCACCCTGGCTGTTTTTTTTACGGGTTGGCTTTAACTTTTATAGTTTTCGTCGATAAAAAATTAAATCGTTTCACATTGTATTGTCTGGATAGTTAAACTGTTTTCCAAACGTTTTTCCTTCGAATCACATTCGTAAATGCTTTTTTGTTTTGTTTAATTTGCGTTTTGCTTTTAGAAAGTTTGTGTACATTTACTGTCAAATTACGCAGTTTGACTGTGGTCGATTACGGGAAAATAATGGGCTGGCAACAATGTTTCTGAGCCAATCAAAGAGCGCCATTTTGTCGGAAATGAAGCTAGCCATATAATAATAACATTTAAACATTTTTAATATTTTTCGTTTCGATTTTGAAGATAAGTGATGAAATTTCCGATTAAACATTGTGCTGTTTCTACTTTTATCATATCCTTTTGTTTTATGCATGGCTCTTTTCAATGCACTCTTCTTGTATGCAATCTTTAAATTCAAAATGAACGCGTGGAAACTAAACCCTTTAGAGGGCACGTTTTTATCTCCGTTGTGTGTTAAGCAATTAACACCAGGTGTTTTCTGCAATACAACATGTCCAAATAGTTTTAATAACTTTGGCTCGCAATATTTTTTTCAATTTGAAAGGAACACATCAAAATGTTGTACTTAAACAAATGCTTAAATTAAAAAGCTTTTGATTATATTTTCCTTGCTAATCTTATTAGCAAATGTACCGATTTTTTCTATAATGCCTCATAGTTACAAATGTGAGGAGAAAGTTTCAAATTTGAATAAAGGACACTACCACACTTGTTTGCAAGTGTTTTTAAGCTTAAATCATTAATAGATTCTTTAAGAAAGTTTAATACTTTAAATTATTGATTTACTTTGTCGAAGATCAATATGTTCATGAAGTTAAAACATCCATATATATATATTCTTTAACTGTGTAGACAAAAATTTGGTTCAATACTTGACTCATTATATTATTAATACTTAGAGAATAATATAGATAAAAATAAGTTAACAAAACGCCAGTTTTTTTTGTAAGCAAAGGATTCAAATAAAATTCAAGCGTTAATATTTCAAGAAACATCAATATTTACACAGATGTGTAAATTGTACCTGTTAGAGGAAATTACACCAATATTTGTTGCTACATGACAAAGATTATTATTGGTTGCTTCAATAATTTAATAAGCAAATAGTTTTAACTATGGCACGCATTATGTTTTCAGTTTGACAAGAAATATAGCAAAATGTTGTACTCGAACAAATGCTTAAACTTAACAGCTATATTATTATGCTTACTTAATGTTCTTGGTAGTAGCAACTGTTTCGATTTTTGCTATAATGCTTTGTACAAGGGTAAGAAAAAAGTTTGATGCCTCAATGAGAAGTTTGCGCTTGGCCTAGCGTGAAATAGTACAGCTATTGGAAACTTTACTAAACTGACAATGACAGGGTATTTTTTCTTAGGTTGGAGATTTCAAGGGAATGTATTTAAAAAAATCGAAGTACAAAACGAAATAGAATGCATCGTAAAATGCTTTAAAGAGCCATGTTGTCAATCTCTAAACCACAGTAGAAGGTTAAGCCAAGGACGTTGGAGTCTGTGTGAAATGTTACACAGTGTTCTAAATGACAGCAGCCGACAAAATTTAAGACAAAATCGATTTTATGATTATGTTTTCTTCAACACACCGATCAAAGTAAGAAATAATTTTGAAGTTTGTGTGTTTTATTTATGCAACTAAAAGCAAGTAGCTTAACCCAAAAAGAAAATTTGACAAATGTTTTATGTATTACATGAAAAATAAAAAACTAAAACAAAAAAGACCACTCTTTCACCAAAAATTTACCTAGACTTTCCTTTTCATCCTAACTTTTTCAAATTTTTTTTGTTTATTTTTTAGATGTACAACAAAAGCTGCAAACTGCAACAGCGTAAGTAGTTCCTAGCTACATTATATTTATATTCATAAACTTGACTTATGTTTCATTCAATTCATCTAAGCCCTCAACAAAAGTTACGATTTGGTATTTCCCAATGCTCATGTCGAGAACTTGATTCTTCTCGATAATGTGATGCCTAATATATCAGAGATGACATTGGCATTTTGGGTAAACACAGGTACAAGGCGAAGAATGGCGCTGTTTTCTTATGCTGTTCAGAACAGTCCTGACGAATTCTTTGTAGGATTTGACACAGAACGGGTCATCATTACAATAAAGTCGTTGACAAAAGAGTAAGAAAAATTAATTTTATTGGTTTAAACCACGGTTAAAAATTCATCAATCTGCTAAATTTTGAAATTTGAATTAATGTGCAAAATATTTGTATGCTTTTGGTAAAGGATATTTTTAGATGCACAACAGACTTGTATTCGGATTCAGCGTTTATACATTATTGATTTATACATCATTATACATTGTTTTGCAAAAACCATGTTTGTCAAATGTGATTGGCTAATTATTAATTACATGATTTGAAATGAATGCGATGTTTCCTACCTAAGAAAAACGTGACAAATTACTGCCCGCAAATTTCAATATCATAAAAAAAACCAAAACTAAAAAGATTTATTGCACTTGTAGTAAGCAAAAAAATTTTACTATTAATAAGAAACAAGGATTAAGAAAACATTAAAAAATAGTTAAGAAATGTGTTTGTCAGCCTTATTGCATTTCGCAACAAAATTTTGATGGACAAATCTCGCCGAAAGTCATTGAGTTTATTAAAAGGCAATCACAATAAATGGTCTTTGTTCTTATTTCACAAAACACTTATTGTACGTCCAACAGAAAATAGTAAGTTTTGTTATCGTTTGAGTCTAAGTCAATGTTTCTTCCGAGCCTCTAGGAAAACAAAACGCACTACTTTCCTCGTGAGCATAAAGCAAGTGAACAACGTTAATACAATATGATGTAAGCATTATATGCACTAAAATCAAAGTATTAACTTTTAATTGTTTTCGTTTTTCGATTTCCAAAGTCAAGAGCAGGGGCGGATCTAGAGTATGTTAAATCCGTCGCGCGACTGATGTTTGAAATTCAAAAATTATCTATTCATATTAATTAAAAATTCATTAATTATTCTTACTTTATTATCGCATTTACTTCGTGATAAAAATCCAGCTTTATTTATTATTGAAAACCAATGACTAATGCAATGAATATCTCCTTGGTAACCAGATCAGTTGAATTTTAATTGACCTGGAATAACCGACTGATAAGCGGGGTGGCTTGACTGGTTCGACTTATAAAGGAGTCTAGAACGCCAGAAACGCTATTTTATTGGTCAATGGCCAGATCAGTGGACAGTCTGGAATAATGTCGACCGATAATAGGGGTGGCCGGACCTATAAGGGAGTCAAATTGCTATCTTACAATTGGTTCATTTGAATTTTTGTCTTACTGTGATTGGTTTGACCGATTTCGACTGATAGCCAACTGAACTAACATAGTCAAGCTCACTGTCTGAATTGAATGTTTGATCGTTTCATAGTAATTTTTATAAGCATGATAGAAACAAACTACAATCAGATGGAATTTATGGAAATCTTTTACAAATTCATATGTTGACATGAATGCTGCTTTCCAAAATGGGAATTTTTTCAAGAGGGTGAAAAATTTATGGATGAATTGTAAATGCTTGGCAAAGACGATCTCTCGAGCGACATTTCAGTCATTGATGTTCAAAAGAAAGCCAACATTGTTTTGAGTTTTATCAGCAGAAATTTACATCGAAAATCGTAAGTAAAGGACAAGTGAAGTGTATGCATGAATGCAATATATCAAAGTCAATTTATGCGAGTGTGTGATGCGATTTATGTTAATATGGCGTAAGGTAAGCAGATTGATGCTTCTAAAATTGTTGTTCCCGAAGGACTTTTAGCTATGATTTCTTTAATGCTTGGGGAATCGTGGCCGCTATATGACAGCGAAATCCTACATTTCTGCAAATATATTTCAATGGACAAAAAATCTGTAGCCATAAGGTGCCATACTATTATTTACTTTATCATAAACAAATGTTTGGGGCTTTTCAGTTTATGATCATTGATCATTCAATCATTGGACAGTTATACTACATATTGTTTAAGATTTGAGAAAACTAACATTGATTACATGAGAAGCTGTTTACTATAACCTGTGATTTTGAGTCTTATGATCCATGAAGCCTTTTATTTTGACAATTTGACTGGAATGGTATTAAACCTGAGTATTTCACATACATGAAATGTTGTCCCATGTCACATATTGTCCCCTTTTCTAACTGAACACCTCATGTAGTGATGTAAAGGTGTTTTAACCTACGGCTCATACCAGATTGTTGCCATAAACTCCAAAGGGCTATTGATGTATGAAAAGCATTTTCTATAAAGTAAAAATGTCTTCCTATGTATGCAGATAAACCTTGAAATTTGGCAAAACAGCAAAATATTTTTCATGATCACTAGGTAATTTTTCTGATGATCATTATAACTTCTAAACTAAATTATTTTAGATTTACATTTAAACAAGCTTTGATCATATGAAAAGATATTTATCATAACCAGTAAGCATGACACATAAACCATTTTTAACATTCATGTAATTATATAATTAAAGAGATGTTGGTTACATTCTGTTTGTATTTGATAATACAATGCTACTAGTGATTGCTATATAGCACACCTTGCAGAAGATAATAGTCTAGTGAAATGCCTAATAAACATTTATGGCATTAAGCTAACCTTAACTGCAAATTTTCACTCTGATAATTTTTGCTTAATCTTTGGCAGAAAAAAATTTTGAGTTTTTCTCAAAGGGTGAATTTGCTGGCACTGATGTGGAGATGGGTAAAGGGTTACAATAAACTTGCATGGTTTGAAGTCTGAGCTTTTCTATATCTATGAACTGTCACTTTTAGTACCAAATTTCTAACTTAACTTATTACATAGAGGTTTGAATGGGGGTCTCTAGGGGGGTCAATGCCTGACAACTTGGTAGAAATTTTAAAGAATATATCTGTTTTTGAATAGCATTATTGTAAAATAAATTTACGTTCCTAGACATGCTAATGAGCCATATATTTGGCATGATAATGAGCCTAAATATTTGGCAAAACGTTTAAGTATTGTTCACTTTATTTTTTTTTTCGAAAAAAACGTAAGAAAAATGTGTTGTTTTTACGCAAAAACGATGCCCACAAAATACATTTTGTATTGCTCTAAAACGCTGAAAATGGCATTTTCAAGACTCTGAAATTCAAAATTTCTCAGGGGAGAATGCCTCAGACCCCCCCCAGGTGCGGAGCCTCTCCGACGTTTTACGACTGATGTTTGAAAAATCCTAGATCCGCCCCTGGTCAAGAGTTAAGAAAAGAGTGTGTAGAGCACAAAGACGGCACATTTGTGTCTTTTATGCAATAATAGTTAGTTTGCAGCTGAATACATCCTTCTGTTAGGAGAAAATTCAATGGTCTTGATTCTTAAGAATGTTTAATGATGGATGATCCTAGGGGAGATATAAAGTGAAAAAAAGAAATATTCAACGCAATGAATAGATGGACCCAACAATTATTCATATATTTTTGCAAATGGTTGAGAGAATCAATTTAGAAGTAGTAGTGGAGGTAAATATACACAATTTGTCATATTGTTTCATTTAAAAATAAAATAATAAAGGGTTATGGACTCTAACGTAAAACTTAAAAATTCATGCAGTTACCCAATTAGCCATTTTAAACAATGGTTTTAAATGCAGAAAATTACAGTAAAACACTGAGACAGCCAATTAATAGTAGAAAAGAAAAGATCAAGAATATGTTGTTCTATTTTTTAAACCATGTGGATAAAATTGATGATTGATGTTACAGTGTGGAACATAGATAAAAAAAGACAAGAAACAGTAAAATTTCATTCAATCAGACTTAGTACAATTTTAACAATAAAATTAAGTAAAAAATGGAGCAAAAAAAGCAAGTGTGTTTTAAGAAAATGTGTAAAAGGTGTCCAGTGATTTCATTATCTTTAAAAAAGATACTTTAATGTTAAAATGAAAGAAAAGAGAAACGTGTGGAAGAAACGTAAAATACAAAGAAATGGATAATTTTCACAAGAAATTGCTGTATCAGTATTTAAGAAGATGAGAAAAGGAAAAGTTTTAATATAAGATAATATTTTAGTGAAAGCTTCATTATGCACTAAAAAATTTAACAACGCTCTCAGATTTTAAACAGATTGCTGCTTTGAAAGAAAATGCTGGAGAAGTAAAATAGGAAAATGTTTGATTTCTTAGATTAGAATAAAGTAATAAATGCATGGGTGCTTTATTAAGTTATTATTAAAGAGGCTAATAAAAAAACACGAGATGAAATAATAAAAAATAAACATTTTTAACAAAATTTAAAGTTAAAAATGTTGCATACTGATAGAAAATTTAGTAACATCTTAGTGCTATGTTTTTTATGGATGGTAATATTTAACTAAACTCATGTTATTGCATTTTTAATTTGAAACGAAGTTTCTTCAAACGATTTTGTTTATTTCAAGATCATCATATTTCTAGTCTATATTTCTCGTATAGCAACATTGCACATTTCATGTGCACCCATATTAAAAATATAGTATGCATATTGTAATACGAGTTTACTTCCTAAATGATAATAACCACTAAAATCACCTATAGTCGTTTGGTTTTCGTTTGAAGAAAAATGTACGAAACCATGACGCATGCTAGAAACAAACAACGTTGAAATGTCAAGGCCACAGTGTAATAATCTGGATTTTGTTTCTCAAAATCCAGATTATTGGATGTTGTTAATACACCATTATTATTAATAGAGAACACACCATTTGGGTCGCCCTTATACACAGTATAAAAACTCTGTGTAGTGGATTTGGTTGCTGCATTGATGCTCCCAATGTAAGTTTCATGTTGAACACTTTCCTTGACTGTGAAGTAATATAAATGCCTTTCAAAGACAGGTAGCTCATCATCAAACAGTATAATAGTGATATATACCAGAGATGCAGCAGTCACGTGATTAGTCTCTGCTAATTTTTAAGCACTTAATGACATTAAAAATGAATGACGTTGCAAGACCTGCGTACATCAAAAATGTGTGAAATTTTGAATTTCCATTAGCTTTTTCAACTTTGTTGCTAACATTTTTCTATAAATCATTTTACAATCATTCGTTAATAGTATTTTTTTCTTTATACCAGCCAATGCTATTATTCATGTGGTATTTCTCATTTGAATCTTCGTTATTTGATAGAAACCTTCACATTTATCCAATCTACGATGGTTATTGGCACCACCTGGTCATCATCCTCACTCTGATGACTGAGAGGATTTTTCTTGATGGGGCTATGATTTCAAACGAAACTATGGTGAACAATTCATTACTTTTACTACGCGGTGGAGGTGTTGTCGCTATTGGTCAAAAACTTGAGTGCGAGAATGCTGTTTTTGATCCAAATATTTCGTTTGTTAGTAAAATAAATAATTTAAATTTATGGAACTATGACGTGACACGCAACACATCATGTACCATCAAGGGGCTAAAACATGAATGTACTGTAGAGCCACATAAACAAATAATTCAGTGGAGAGATCTTCACATTTTTTTGAGCGGAAATGTTTCAAAATCGTTAACAGTTGGTAAGTAATGATTGTTTCAATAATTTCTAAATGTGAAGCCTCAAATACAAAGTAGTAATAAACAAGATGATTTCTGTGCTTTTATTGCAACTAAACAAAAGCCCTATTAGTCATATACTTTTTTTAATCAAATTTCTAAGTTGAATATCAAAAGCATTATTTGAATATTTTCCTCAAAAACGAAAAAAAATTATTTTAAAATTTAAAAGGCATGAAAAAAATGTAAAATTTAAATAACATTAAATATACTATACAATAAATTGAGAAAAGACAAGAAAATTTACGCCATATTCAAAAGAAATAACAATAAAATCAGAAAATAAAGTAAATGCGATATGTAAAAAGTGCTTATCATTTATACAGAGAGCATTCTGTATCGCTCTGATCAGTGCATTGTTGCTGCAAAGTGCAAGCTAATTGGTCTTTATAGCAAAGAAACGACCATGTTTTTTTGCAAAATTCGCGCTATTGGTATTACTTAAGGCTGATTTCCACTTAGTGGAAAATGTTGCGCGGTCGACTGTTACAGCACGATGTTCGAAATACGCATGAGCATTACAAAGACATCAAGAGCGCCCAATCGCTAAAAAAGTAGATAAACTACTTTTCGTTAGCCAAAGTCAAATTTACATAGTTTCAAGTAAACAAATATGGCGGACGACAACAGGAGTGATCAAAATTTTAAGTGGACGACCAAGAAGAGTTTCAAGCAAGCCTTGATTTAACATTTACACCAATTGCACAAAGCCTTTTCACTTATCAAACAAACAAAGTCTACAATGTGGAAATGCTTATAGATTTAGTGAAAGAACAACAATTTTTATATAATAAAGCCTCCCAATCTTACAAAGATCAAAGAAAAAAAAAGAATACCTGGGCTAATATGGCTTGTCTGTTGTAAAAAGACAGTAAGTAATGTTTTCATTTTTTCCAAATGCAAATGAAAAGTGACTGTTTTAAATGAAATTTAAATGGAAACAATCAAACGTCTTTAAGCATTTTACTTACTAAAGACTTTCTTGTTGTATATTAAACAATTTGATTAAAAGAACTCAGATGCCAAAAGTGTATTGCCAATGTCCTTTATATAAATATGTTTTCTACCCTTCCCAACGTTTCTCTTCTTTCTTCTCCTTTAAGGACAAAATTTTCCCAAACCTCTGACGCACTACCTCTGGAGCACTAGGTAATATCCACCCCCCCCCCTTTACTGGCAACCAAGTTTCCTGCCCTGCGTTATCGAGCATTTTTGCTCACATTAATGCAACTGCATACACCCCCAACTTAGACGAATTTAAAATAATTTCTTCTTCTCGTGATTCCTATGAACTGTCCATTTATGAGAGCCTCCTAGTCAACAAATACAAGCCTTCACTTAACGTGAAAGGCAGTTCCATTCCACTTAACCTCTTTTAAATTCACTTTATATTACTTCCAAACATTCTTATCATGTAATCCATTTGACACCACCTCCTTTAGTAATTTAACACCTTATGTAAATATAAATTCTTGTCTTAACATCCTATTAAAGATTATTTAACTGAAGATGTCTTGAGTTAAGACAAAACATCACAATATATTCAATTTCGTATTACGGTGGCCCAGAAAGCTTAACCAATCTAAAATATTTCGGAACACAAAACAAATTATTCAAACCTTAAAAAGATATAAACAATGAAAGAAATATTTCACAACACAAGCACTAGAAATAAACAACGCATCTAATTGTTTACAGCACAAACAATGTTTCTCACAAGGCAAGCAATAAAGTCGCATTGCAAGCACAAAAACTCACATTACGCACAAAAACAAAATTTGACAAAATGCAAATGTTTTCACAACGGAAGTTAATACAACCGGAAATTAGACAGAAGCAATAGCAGACAGCGTGCTTCGGGAAGTTTTTTCAAAATGTATTGCTGTAAATGTGGTCTGAGACCCCAGAATTTTCAAATTTTTGTTGGAAATGTAAAAACCCTATGAAAGACAAAACAACAGAAGCATCAAGCGAAAAGTTAACTATGCTATGGAGCATAGTTAAATTTTAAGAACAAAGTTAAATATGGCGGCTTAGCTTCTCAAAGACAATTATGGGTGAGATATTGTTAATCAACAAGTTTTTACCTTGAGTTTTTAATCACATTGGTATCTTCCGTGGCAAAGGCTTTTAGAATAAGATCTTTATGGTCGGTGTATTATATTCGTCAGTGCTGTAAACATTCCAAGTTTTGCAGAAAAAAAAAACAGCCAACAACTTATCCGCGTAACAAATCCCTTTTTACTGAAGAGCATCTGCATAATTGCATTTTGTGTTGTCTTTTCTTTGCATCCGGTAGCTCATAAGCGAGACTCTCAATTGAGATAGAGTCACTTCTTTAAGATTAATGCACATAACTTGCTGACATTGTCTTACAAACACGTACAATTCGTTCAATGACAAAAAAAAAAGAAGAATGTTTATCGACCAATGAATCCTATAGCCTTGGATTTATCAAATATTCAAATTGCGGGTTTTTCCCTATGCATTTTGCTTAATTTGAATATCCTATGCATCATATAAATTCGTTGCTCTATGAAAAATGAGCTAGATTATGTTAAAACAAAAAGGTACTACAGTATGAATGTTGTGCTAAATATGACAATAATAATACATATAGATACATGAGCTTTACAACAGTTTTTATTCATGACTACTCTCTTCTGTATCAGCTTCATGAGATACAATTATGTTAGTTTTTTTAAATACATAAAACATTTCATTAGCATGCATGCTGAAGTTCCATGTTGCATAATATATATACACTACAAAATTGCACATGGTTTATTACACAAGCAGAAAATATACATTACAGACAATTAGTGGGTTTTATTGATATTTCATCAAGAATTTCCTGTGTAAAAATGTTTATTTTTAATGTACATGCAATCGTGCCTGCTAATATTTTCTAGGAAGCAGAAAGCTATAGCTACTGTTTGATGATTTAAAAAGTAGAAAAAAATGAATAAAAATCCTAGCTTTAGACAAAATAGGCTAATAAATCACAAAGGCATAAATAAAAGTTTTATAGCTAAGGCTCATTAACAAATATACCCAATAGCTTTTATAACTCATTTTTTTGCAAAGCACAATTAAGAACAAATAAGTATTTTGTGTATAGCTGTGAATATAACATGTCACACAAGCAGAGAAAAGACAGTCGCTGGATTACATGGCTACTAACTATGCTGGCTCAAAGAAGTGTTTTCTAATAATAAAAAAGTCCATCACTGTCATCTTTTACAAAAATGTGTGACTTATGTCTGTACAAACACATTTCTTTCAAGCATTTTCTTAGCTGTTATAAAGAGAAACGAAACGACCTTTTCTTTTGGTACCCTCAATTTCTTAGTTTTAAATTCTGTGAAAGCAAGGCCATTCAAATATTTAAATCCTTGAACAAAGAACACAATATGAACCAATTGGAGAAGAGTTCAGTGTTTCGTTTGCCCAAGTCCATTATATATAATTGGTTCATGAAAGAAAGCAGTCCTTGCAGAGACTCATATTCATCAACATCGTACTGTACTGCACAGAAGATAAGGGTCGAGTTTCTTGAGAAAAATCCGAAGTATATGTTACAATTTGATCCGGTTACCATGTCACCGTTAGGTTATGTCTCTGTTATGCTACAATTTGATCCCATTAGCATGTCACTAGGTTACCACGACTCACGTTTAATAAATTTTCTTTTTGCGTCATCAACATCCGTACAATAGTTTGCCATATTTTAAGATTTTTACAAAAGCCAAGAGATTTTTCTTGATTTTCAAGTCATTTTAAAGTTCACTTGCCCGCCATTACAAAGCATAAATTGATTAAACTTTATGTCATTTAACGAAAACAACACTCCACGCAATTTCCACGCAAATTAACTACGCAGTTACTTAACTATCCGACAAACTAAGTTTTGTCCAACGCAGTTAAGTCAAGCAGCTAAGTTACTACAGTTAAGGAGTTAACTACGATAATTAGCGTTAATTATAGTTAAAGTTAAATTCGTTTTTATACAATCATCCCCTGGACTATTATTATTAATTGAGTTATAAAAGTCCACAGAAAGCTTATAACTATACTTTTTTGGTGGTCTTTTCCTTTTCTATGAGCACATTAGCTAATAATTTAGAAAAAAATAAGTTCCATGCAAAAGATTTACTTTGCCAGGATTTGATGTAATAAAATCAACGAGACTCCAAGTTCCTACAGTAAATTTTCTAAAATATTTTTGTAGAAACATCGGAAGTTCGTTTTGACTTTCTTATAGATTGTCATGTATGTAAGCAAATTTAAAAATTCACTTATTTAGGGTTCTCTTGTTGTTGTACTTTAATCATGAAAAAAGCAAGATTTTCATTTAAAAATTAGCTTTAAGTGCATGCACATTAATAAGGAAGAGTATGAGGACAAGATGATTGTTTTCTTTACAACAAAATCAAAGAAAGTATACGTGAATAATATATCAGTTTATTTGAATAAAGAATATAACAGAACTTTTCATTTTAGGCATTCGTAAACCACAGTCTTGCATAATCGCAGGTTGGCAGAAATCATTTAACAAAAAAGGATGGTCAACTTGTGGGTCCAACTACAAATTTATAACTGGTTTTCGGCGCAGCCAGTTCAACAATACAAACGATGATGGCATTCACAAACTCCAAAAAGCTAAGTGTTGTTCGTCAAATAATATACATAAAGGGCAAAGTAGCACATGTCAAAATGTTAGCTGGCAAACTTCTTTAAATATGTGAGTATATTTGAGAGAATGAACCAATTAACACTTTGAGGAGGGTTTAAAAAGTAATTAAAAATGTTAAGCAAAAAATTACTACATCTAATTTTGCCATTTATAAAACTTCGTAAGTTTATACAATGTCTTTTCTAAAGATTTTTATGCTATTATTGTGATAAAATAATTTATAATTAGTCAGCATATGATGAAGAAAACAAAGCTTTCCCCATATAGCAAAAATAGTTTATTTAT